CTAGACAGACGGTCCAAAACTAACAGACATAGACGCTTGCGCAAACATTTCAGATAGTTGCGGTGCTGTACACAGCGGCGCGCCTGCCGGAGGGTTAAGATCACAACTACGAGCAGGCCAATGAATCGGTGCATCCGCACCCCGGCCTATTCACCTATCTGGGAAATGTTCATATACAAATTCTTGTGTAATGTAGTGTAGCGGTGCATGAAAACACGTTTCTTCGTATTTGTAATGGAATATCTTCCAAAATATTATGTAAAATATTGTCTAGAAAATTGTAATATATGTTACCATTTAAATTTCCGGGAAAGATGTGGTATCCTATGAAACTATTTCCTAACGTAGCTGCCCAAACATTTATCTTGAACGTGTGTTGGAAGTGAGTTTCCATTGTAGCCCTTGGATTTTCTTCAGTCCAGAAGTGCATATATCTAGAATTGAAAATATCTTGTCTTGTAAATGTGGCCCCGTCTCTAAACAGAATGTTGCTTAAAAAATTTGGTGCAGTTTGAACTTTATTTTGCGATACTTCACAAATCAACTCTAAGTGGCATATCGTCAGGTAATAATTCCTGCACCTGTCGATAGTGGTAAGGATGTAATTGCTCTTCATGCAGAACTCTTAAAACACTTTGGTGGGAAATATTCGTTCCTAATCCTAACCTGGGTGTATTTATTGTGGGGTCCTTTATTACAGCATCCAATATTTGCTGTTCAACGCTTACATTTCTTGCTTCTCTACGACGATCAGCATCTGTATTCCTTCTTTGAAGACAACCGGTTTCTCTCAGTCGTCGTTCAGTACTTACAAAAGTCCTGGCATTGGGAATATTTCTGTTCGGATACTTTTCTCTGTAACGTCTTACAGCGGCAGCAGCATTTCCCGAACATTCCCCTTATACTAAAAGTATGTCTGTCATCTCAGAATTTGAATAGTGTGCCACATTGCGGGCAAATAAATTTAAAAATACAGCAAAAGAGACGTGTTAAACAAATTTCACTGTCGAGTACAATAAAAGTGTAGATAAAATAATTTATTTGTTATTAAACGTCACTGACAATTCATAGACTACTTGAGATTAAAGTGTTGTTGCTAACACAAGTGTCAATTCCAAAGCATACTTGATGAATATTAAGAAATGTAATGATTACAATAAAATACATGTTTACCTTCGAGTTTAAATAAATCGAAAATGGTGATATCTATCAAAATATTACAAGAGCACCTTTTTTACGTAGAAAAGTCTAAGGAAACAGTTTTTATCATATTTTTTTAAAATATGTAAAAATTAAAGAACATGTGACGCAATAACCCCCACTGACCCTCCAAAACTACCCTGTATTAATATAGGATGTGGTAGGTGGTGACATGAAATTAATTATCCTAATGTCTTATAATCACTCCCAAAATATGAACTCCGTATTTAAAACCGTTTGGAAGATATTTGAAAAAATAAGAATTTCAATTCACCCCTTTAAAGGGTTGTATCTCCCTTATTATTCAGTTTTATAAAAAAGTGTACATAAAGAAGTACCCTTATTTTTGAACGTACTATGAGCTCTAGAAATTATTGTACATAATTTTAGACCACCTTGTATAATATGTATCCAAGAAACTAACCTTAGTCCAAACAAAAATTACAATCCTAAACAGTTCAATTGTTTTAGAAATGACAGAATAAGCCATTGTAATTATTCTTCTGGTGGGGTTGCCACTTTAATCGAAAAATCTTCTGTATCAAGCCTATTTCCTGTAAACACCACACTTGAAACAGTAGTAATAAAACTTGTAGTACCTTCAACTCTCTACATCTGTATTATTTATGTACCATCGAGTGCAGTATTTACTTTTGATGACATAAATAGTCTTATCGAACAATTACCATCTCCTCGTATTATAGTCGGTGATTTTATCGGTCACAATAACATATATAACATATGGGGTCAGTACGTACAGATAGTAGAGGTAAATTGCTGGAAAAATGATTGTCTAAGTTACATACAGCTCAACTTACTTACTCTTACTGTATTTAATAAGGATTCTACAAATCCGGCTGTTATTACAAATAACCTCAATTCAATCATACACAAACATGGAGAAAATTGATGCAGGATATTTACAGATGCATCCAAATGCAACACACGATTTGGTGCTGCATATGTAACGTGTAACAATCAATTTCAATTCAGACTGCCCAAATATTTCAGTATCTTCTCTGCTGAACTGTATGCAATACTCAAAACTCTTGAAGATATCAACAATAATAAATACCAAAATGCTTGATTCTAAGTGACTCCCTTGGTGTTTTACAAACCTTAAATCATATGTATCCTAAAAGCCCCCTAGAAAAAATTGTAAAATCTGAACTAAAGCAAGCTGAAGAAAATTCCAGACGCATTACCTTCATGTGGATTCCATCTCATAAAGGTATTGATGGAAATAAAGCTGCAGACCAGTGCGCAAGTAAAGTGTCGGAAAGTGTCGAAACAGATGTAACGAAGTGTCGAAATTCCGCGGGTGATATAAAAACGTCTATAAAAAATGTAATTACGTGTAAGTTGAATTAATAATGAAATTATTCGCAGATAACACTACCGAAAATTAAAGACAATGTTTATCCATGGCTAACTAGAACTCAAAACCAAAAACTGCAAACCATCATTACTCGTCTTAGTTTAGGCAATACAAGATATACGCAATCGTAACTTTTTACCACAGATAATCCCCCTAAATGTGACATTTGTGAAGAAACAAAGAGTGGTAAACATTTTTTAATTGACTGTCCACTTTTTGTAAATGAACGCAACAGGTTCAATATTCCAAACAATATCAATAAACTCTTAGGTACAGAGACAGACTTTAATTATGTTGATTTGGGAGAATATTTTTTTTATTTCGAAAATATGTGTCTCGACAGCTAATGGTCATTGACACAGGTACAATTTACATTCATGTTTACATGGTTGATACTTTACATTGGGTACAGATTAGTTACAATACATTTTTTTATAATACATTTTTGTTTTAAATTAAATTGTATAACTTTGTGTTTTTTAAAAAGTTTAATACATTTTCGTAGTTGCTGCTGTTTGAGATAAGTATGTCTTTTAGGTTGTTACCAAGATTATATTTTCTTCTGGCCGCTAGGTAGTGTTGACAGTCAGAAGTACATGTGTTACGGAAGTCGTGGTGTTGCAGTACTGGCACAAAATCTGATTACTGGAATTCATTAGGTGTCCATGTGTAAGGCGTGTGTGCCCTATTCTCAATCTTCGAATGATTGATTTGTCCTTTCTTTTCATTGGTGAGAGCTGGTGGTAGAAAATGTTTGGTTGTAGAACGCTTAACTTGGTATTGCTTCTTTTCCATTGATCATTCCAAAGGTCCATTATTTTATGTTTGATTGTTCTTTTTAGATCTGATGATGTTTGAATGTCTGTTGTAACGTTAAGAGAACATGCTTGTTGTGCTGCTTTATCGGCTTTTTGGTTACCTGGAATAACAACGTGTGATGGGACCCAAAATATCGTTACTGTAATTCCATTAGTTTGAAGACTATTTAGAGAATATTTAAAATGTATAGGATTATATTATAAAATTTAAACTATAGACAGGCCATTCACGTTTCTACTTTTAGTCCGACTAGTAGTCCAACTTCTGCAGTTGGATCTGAAATCGGACTGTGAGTGGGCTAGTTGGATTAGTTGGACAACTAGTGGTACGAGTCGGAACATCTAGTGGGACGACTTGAAGGTCCGACTTCCGACTGGCGACGAAGTCGGAGCGTGAATGGTGAAGTTGGAAGTCGGATCACAGGTCGGATCGAAAATTTCCTCAGTCAGGTGATCTTTGGCACCTGTTACGTATGAGATTTCTATGAAATACTTTATGCAAAGATCTTTAGTTCGCAAATATTTAATAGAAAATAAACTTTCAATTACACGAAAATTACCTTTTTGTTAGGGCAAATAATTTTCCTTTCTGTAGATCTATTTCGGACATTACCATACAGGTACAATTTCCAACACTCCGGATTGGCTACAGAAGAATTATCAACAAACAACGAAAATTAAATCATAGTTGTACTGAAATTATAACTGTTTCCTTATATTTTTCTGAATTTATTTTCTTGTGGCATATTATGCAAATTTACTATTTTAATTGAAAATAAGCCTGAATATTAGTTAGAAATGAAATTTATTTGACGTTGAACTGAAGTTGGACCGCTAGTTGGATAGCAAGTTGGAGCGTAAATGGCGTGCATTAGAATTGTACACTTACACTGTATTTCCGCTAATCACCTTGTGGTGGAAGCGGTAAACTTTTTCAATAAAAAAAAATATTATAATTTTCTATTAAGTTGAGAATTTCAGAATAAATTTCATCCGGTTTGGGACTCTCGTTGGTTTTTAATTGTTTAGTAACATATTCTACCTTCAATTTTAGAATTGGTCGGGTTTCATTAGAAATATTTATCGTAATGTCAATTTTTTTATCCTGGGACAGCTGCTGTGTAAATGTTTTACATTGTTGTATTTTATCATTAATGTTATAAATAAACTGTCATTTACTATTTACCAGAGGATCACGTTATTTTTTATTCATATATTAAAATTATTTTATTTTCTGGTACATATTAAAATAATTATGGTTTTTTTCTACCACTATATTTTTAAGAAAAAGGCTGATGAAACGAGCTCTCATTTGATGGATACAGTGAAAAGTCTCTTTAAGACGTTTACAGCATAATCTTAAGAAGGATATAAACTTTTAATATACTGGGAAAATTATATTGAACATTCGGGATTGTTTTTTGTCATACAGATTATTCTTTTACTTTATATTTGGTTTATTCTTCTTTATTGCTGTACTGCAAATTTGAAATATTTTTTCTTTATACACTTTTTATTTTTTTTTTTTATATAAAACCATATTATAAAGTACCCTTCTTACTGTGTATTTCGGACGATATATAGTAACATATTTTTTGTTTCAGAAAGTTCTTGTTGGAGAATCTAAAATGGAGCGTCTACCGATGCAAATTGGAGAAACATATCTTTACAAAGACTCAGGAATATTCAAAGCAGAAAGTCAGTTAGGATTTATTTTGGAGTGTAATATGAAGTTTCATACCTGCATGTTTGAAATGTCGGGTAAGATATCTTTTCGGAAAATATCAGACAAAATACAGTCAGAAATATTTCCTTTTGAGATTTACAATTTTCTAAGCAAAATTATCGAATATACGAGGATAAAAAAACTTCTTTTTAAATTTAGACTAACAAAACCAACGATTATTATATATCGGAAATCTTATTTCATAATATTCTTCGAATTTCATCTCAAGTAGTTGTTGTTGTCCATTGAACCTGTATATATATATATATATATATATATATATATATATATATATATATATATATATATATAGAAGAAAAGAAGTACTTGTGACTCGTTTGGAAAAAATATAAAACTGTTTTGGATGGGTTGGAGTCAATAAAAGGGGCTATTTGTTAACTATTTTTTACTCGAGCTTTCAATTGTGTTTACAATTATTATCAAGAGCTGCTAAAAAATACAAAATATCTTACAAAGTTGAATTAGAAATAAAAAATTTTGTTAACTCACTAAATAAAATTAGTTTTGTATAAAAAAAATGCTGCTTTTGTATAAAAAAACATATTACAAAAAACATTACTACAAAAATGATCTGTTCTAATAAACGTTTACATTATTAGAATTATTATCTATTATCATTCATTACTTTTGATACCATCATTAACACCTAAATTAATATAATATAACACTAAAGGTTATTGACAATATAAAAATAGCAACAAAGAACATCAAAACCATTTCATCTTTATATTCCAAAACTAAGTATCCTATAGACAAATTAGATAAAACAAATGTAGCATACAGCATTAGTTGTACTCAGTGTGAAGCAAAGTATGTTGGTGAGACCGGAAGAAATCTCTCAAATCGCATTATTTCTCACAAAAGTGTTTGCAGAATTAAGAAACCATGTTATGCTTTGGCAGAGCATGTAATCACCTCCTGTCACCTCTTCTTTTTAATATAATCCTGGAAAAAGTAGTAAGAACTGCACAAACTAGAACAGAACTACTGACAGTAAATGGACAAAAATTACTACTAGCATACGCGGATGACATTGACATTGTAGGAAATAACGTCACCAATGTAAAAGAAACCTTCAATAAATTAGAGAGAGAGGCAAAAAATACCGGTCTAAGGGTCAATGAACAGAAAACCAAATATATGTGCATTAACAGACAAAAGAGATGGGATAGAATAGGACAAAATGTAACAATAGACCCCTATAACTTTGAAAGAGTGGAGAGTTTTAAATATCTCGGAGCGACTATCACCACAGATCACGATATCATGGAAGAGATAAAAGAGAGAATTCAGGCAGCAAACAGATGTATGTATAGCCTCTACAACACTATTAAATCCAAGAGCCTAACACGAACATCAAAAATCAGGATATATAAAACAGTAATTAGACCGGTGCTCATGTATGGGTGTGAGACGTGGACGCTGACAAAAGCAATAGAAAGTAAACTCAGATGCTTTGAGAGAAAAATCCTCAGAACGATCTTTGGTCCCTATCACGATCCGAATACTAACCAATACCGAATGAGAACAAATGCCGAGGTCAAACAAATGTATAGTGCTAGCGACGTAGTCCAAGAGATTAAATCCCAACGTCTAAGATGGGCTGGCCATGTTCATAGGCTCCCTAATAACCGCCTTACCAAGTTAATCTGGGAAGAAGTCCCGACAGGGAGAAGGCCCTTAGGACGTCCACCAATGCGATGGAGAGATAATATATGGTCAGATTTGAGAACAATGGGGCTACCCACTGACTCAAACATCATGGACGACCGTTCGAGATGGAAACAGGTTGTGCAGTCAGCCAAGACCCACCCCGGGTTGTAGTGCTACCAGAAGAAGAAGAGCATGTAATAAACAAAGACCATATTGTGGATTTTAATAATATTAAAATTTTATGTAGTGAAAGTAATACATTTAAAAGAACTTTTTTGGAACTGGTTTGTATTAGCAAAAGTGATAATAATTTAAACAAAAGGTCCGAAATTCAAAATCTAAGCAAAATTTATAATTATTTCTATGTAGTTTATATATGAAATCAGTAAAATATCACATTTTGATTTAATTTTCCATGTATTTGTTACTTTTTTTCAGGCATCTATCAATGGTGAATAAATCTTCTTCTTTTTTGTTACTAAACAAAAAAAATTTTTAAACAAAATTTTATTTTTGACAATATAATTGTCAAAGATAAAAATTTTTAAGTTGGTATTTATGACATTGAGGCTTATTTGTAACTATTCAATTTTATTTACAAATTCAATTATTTTTGTTACGAAACTTATTCAAAATTAAAATTTCAGAGAAACATTTATTAGAATAGAACATTTTTGTATTAATGTTTTGTGTAATATGTTTTT